TTCTATTGTATCAAATACTTATTTCATGCAATAAAATGGAAATTAATTATTTAAAAATCATACAATGTGATTTTCTGGATTTTTTTTTTTTTAGATTCTGTCTCTCACAGTTGAGGTGTACCTACGATGAAAATTACAGATCTCTCCATTCTTTGTAAGTGGGAAAACTTGAAAAATCGGCAGTGTATCAAATATTTATTTGCCCCACTGTACATATGGTATTGAACATTTTATACTTAAACACCACAACTGTTGTGTCTGTTTGCACTAATTATGACAATGCTGTATGTCAAAACTATAAGGCTGGGAAAGAAAGGGAGAGGACTAAAAACTGGCAGGCCTTTGTTTGCCTATGGTCCTTCAAAATATGCTATATCAGTGTCAATAATGGAACATATTATCATTATTAATCATAATCATATCAGTAGACAGGAGATAGTTGAGCTGTAGGCCTACTGACCTTGATAACGGTAACAGAAGGTCAATCTCAGAAAGGCCGAATGACAGAGTAAGAGATGTGGCCTTGTTATTTTTTGTCTATATTTTGCAATTAGAAAAGTTCTGGTCTTATTTAATGAGCATTTTATAAATAACATTAATATCCACAAAACACTTAAACAGATATTTGGCGCCACATACTGGTTAAATGCACTTTGACATGATGATCTTTAAAGCTTGAAGTAATTTTTTGATGTTGTCATTATATCCCATTATATCGACTTTAATCTGACTAATCACTGTAGCCACAGCAAATTACGTAATGAAAACACTGATACGCAGACAGCACTTCAAGAACACGCACAATTTTTTTTATTATTTATTTTAATATACATATAAAAATATCTTACAACATTCTTAAAGTAACACTAGAATCACAGCAGTAATTACTGTATATCTAATTCACCTTATTTAAAAAAGCTCTCCGTTTTAAAGAGCTACTAGTTTTGTTTCTGACATTCAGCCAGCAGAGGGCAGATTTTTGACGCTGCAGCATTACAGAACCTGAAGCACATCCCTTGTAGTGATTGAAGTCTTGAAGATGCTGAGAAGGTAAAGGACACAAACAAGTGCAGTCTGTGTCTGACGGGGGATTTCCATGTAGTTTTTAATAAAGTTGTTCACCCTTGAGCGAGCTGTCCTGATTGAAATACAGCTGACAAGATAACTATCAGTTTTCACTCATATTAAAGGGGTTTGTGTTTTTACTACAGGGAATTTCCACTGATAATTTATGATGCTACTTGTAACAGAAAAGACATTTATGTGGAATAAAGCTAAGGCAATAATTAAAATAAACTGTGTTTTTTTTCTCACTATCTAGCTTGGTAGCTGGGCTTGCTTTGACTGCTGCAGTGGTTTCTGAAAGTCTAATGTTTTTAAAAACAAGTGGTGGATAAGTAAAATAAAAAACTGCACATCATCTAACACCCCAATCTGCGGGAAACCACAAATTATCTTAAAACAATTTCCTGTGGTTTAAAATAGTGTAAAATTACCAACGAGTCACACGTTCACTGACCCATAATTTTGCTAGATGGCTGTTTTGATTATTTCATTAAATTAACTAGACTGCTATATAGTTAGCTAATCTAAAGTCTTCACTAACTAAATGTGATGTTATATATATATATATATATATATATATATACACACATATATATATAATAGCAACTTTTGAGACATAAAAGTGGCCAAAGAAACACTCATAACTTTCAATTATATATAATATATAATATATTTTTAGTTAGTTTTTTTTTTTTAGCTTGGTTTCCTTAATTAATTGTCATTTACAATTAAATGAAAATGGGTAACACTTTATAATAACTTTCATTAATAAATCATTAACAGACATTATATAATTCTTAACAGATCATTATTTAATATATATTCACATAGCTAGAAATATGAGATAATGTGCTTGTTAATGTTTACTAATGTACTTTAATTAAACATTTCCTAATGATTAACAGATCGGTATTTAATATAAATCAAAATGCTTACAAATATCATTAAACTTTCAATTCATAAGATCATGCACTTTTGAAAAACCTTCAAATGATTTTGACAGATGGTTTACAATGATTAAAAGCTTCATTAATAAATCATTAACAAACATTATATAATGCTTTACTGATCTTTAGTTAATGCTTACAAATGTCATTAAACTTTCAGGTCATAAGTTTATGCACTTTTAAAAAATCTACAAATAATTTTAACAGAAATTGTACAATGATGACAAGTTTATTTGTTAATGTACTTTTGAATGCTAACAAATGTCATTAAACTTAAGTTCACATATTGCCTAATGCTCTTTTTTACGTTTACAAATGTGGAAAAAAATGAGCTTAATCAGTCATTTTAAGCTCTTTACTATTCACCGAACTAGTCATGTTAACATATCATTCATTAATTCATAATCACAGTCTGTAAAGGTCATATATTTTTGACAGATGGTTTACAATGATTAAAAGCTTCATTAATAAATCATTAACAAACATTATATAATGCTTTACTGATCTTTAGTTAATGCTTACAAATGTCATTAAACTTTCAATTCATACGATCATGCACTTTTTAAAATCTACAAATAATTTTAACAGATATTATACAATGATGACAAGCTTATTTGTTAATGTACTTTTGAATGCTAACAAATGTCATTAAACTTAAGTTCACATATTGCCTAATGCTCTTTTTTACGTTTACAAATGTGGAAAAAAATGAGCTTAATCAGTCATTTTAAGCTCTTTACTATTCACTGAACTAGTCATGTTAACATATCATTCATTAATTCATAATCACAGTCTGTAAAGGTCATATATCTGGTCTTCGTTTGTTGTGCAGACAAACACAAGCTTTTGATCTTTTTTGATAACATCTGTTAAAATAATTAGTAGATTTTCAAGACTTGCATGATCTTAATATCATTAAACGATTAATGATATTATTAAGCATTGTAATTTACATTAATTATCTGTTGATCATTAGGTAATGTTTAATAAGTTTAGTAAACATTAACAAGCACATTATCTCATATTTCTAGCTATGTGAATATATATTAACTAATGATCCGTTAAGCATTATATAATGTTTGTTATGATTTATTAATGAAAGCTATTATAAAGTGTTACTTGAAAATGTATTATAGTTTAAATTTATAATAAATGCAATTAGTTGAACAAAAAGAGTGTTTTTCCTCTCAAGTAGGACTACTTAATACATAATTTCATAATTACTTCTATTGTCTTTGAAAAGTGCAATACTGAATGTAAAGCATTTATGGTAAATTTAAATGTATTTTATAGTAATTTCTATCAAAACACTTGTAATGATAAAGTTGCAATGTAGTGCATTTAAAATATATTGATTTCAAAGGTAATGTTGAATAACACACTACAGTCAAAATTATTGTCAAGTACTTTACATTTGATTGTGAATGTTAGCCAACACATCAAATTAAGTGTACTTCTTTAAGCAAAAGATTACTAAAACATAATGATTTAAAATGTTAAAAGTGTTCATAAGATACATAGTCAAGAAAGTGTACTCACTTTAAATGGCCTTTTATTTCAGTAAAATTAAATTATCTGCAAGTTATATGTATATATATATATATATATGTATATATATATATATGTATCAATTATACACATTTCTTTTTCACAAGGGAGATTTAGAGATCACTTTTGATACTTTTGATGTTTCCAGCTTGTTGCATTGCGGTCAAAACATTTATATGTGAAGATTCCGTATAAAACAAGCTAAACATAAACCACTGCTCACAACAAACAAGAATCTGGAACCTTTGGGACAGTTTAGAAAACAGATGAGTATCACAATTTTTTTACTATTTTGTTTACTACATTTTGCAATGTTTAACAGCTGCATGTAGTCATGCGCCAACAATTTGTTTTCATGTTGAAAATTTTCTGGTGAAATAAACGAGCACAAATGCTTTGTGTTTACATCAGTAATGCGAACATGAAAGTGAGAGGACTGCTTTGTCAACACTCCGCATCTGACTGCTTGCAGTCTCAATAAGCTTTGCTTGTGTGGTCCTGCTTCAAGGGCTTCGAGTCCCTACACACATAAACAGCAGGCAGATGTAGGAGGACTGATTGTTTACCAAGCTCTCAATTCTCTAAACAATGGATCAAATGACACTGAACTCTGGCAATCAAACAGATAATCTGCCTTAATCCCCCATGGGTAAATATTTACCCTAATATATCAAAAAGTTCCATTCATCATCGCCTGGGACAGACATAACATGCACAATTTGGAACCAAATAGAGCATCTGAACAGTCTATTTGTATAATTTTCCCCTTTTTTGGGAAGTGGGGTCAGCCATGTTTGCTTACTTAAATATGTACTGAAACACTTCAAATTAGGTCAAGTAAGGAAGGAGAATGTGGGAACTCATTCAGGGGTTAGACCTTCATTTTGAGTGGGAGTTTATTGTTATACTGTTCCGATGGTTTTTGTGAGGTGTGATATTCAAGTTACTCATGTTACACTTAGGGGGAGAAAACCAGTGCAGCTGAAGCCTGAGGGCTCACCTTAATGATGTTATACTCGTCGCAATGGTAACCACGGCTGTAATTTTCTAATAAAATTAAGTAGGGGGATTTTTGTGGACTGGCTGAAAGTGTTAAATAAACAAGAAATCAGTTCTTAAATGAGTAAAGAACAGGTTTTTGTAATCATTTTCAACTATTTTACATTTACATTACACTTAAATTTAGTCATTTAGCAGACGCTTTTATCCAAAGCGACTTACAAATGAGGACAATAGAAGCAATCAAAACCAACAAAAGGGCAATAATATGTAAGTGCTGTGACAAGTCTCAGTTAGC